CCATCATCTCCTGTAAATGCCAATGCCAATCTTCTGTTTGGCATCATGGGGAAAGCGGGAGGGAGACCAGGTAGGAGGTCCGGGTGGTGTGTCCAGAAGGACTAATCTCATTATTGGGGAGCGAAATCATTTCACACAGATCTCAATTGTCTTGTGCTGGCAAGCTACAGAGGAGATAAACCTGTTGAGAAACATTATGAAGAGAAGCTTTTTTCCTGCTCCCCTGTGGCCTGACACCTATTAAGTGGACTTATCTCTGAAAAGTGGACATAAATGTGTGTTGCAGCTGCAAAGACATAATTTACTTCCTTCAAAGATCATCCTTTTTTCACTCTATTGATTTGTATCAATCTGCTGAGCAAGTAACTCAAATCAAAAATTGAATTTTATGTGAAAGTCAGGGGATCAGGGTCAATTTTGTGTGACACTTTGTGTATAGAGTGCAACCTGAAGCCTTCTCAAGGCCCAAGCCAACTGCTGATGAAAGCCAACCCGTTCTCACTCCCATCAATCATTTGACGATCACAGCAACTGATGTAGTATAAAGACAGTATGTGTAGTGCAGGGGGGGGACCGTAGGCCGATTCAAACATGCACAGGACTTTCACGACCGCTGTTTCTGTCCCATTTGAGAAAAGGCCAACTTATTTTAATGTAGTTTTGTTACGTACCAATCGTAGTATTTTATGTAAAAAACATAATCATTTTAACCCAAACAACGATCTATTTCTAAGGCCAACCAAGTGCTTTTGTTGCTCTAAAATTAACCAAGTAGTTGCATAATGAAACAGAAAACATAAGTAAACTACATTTTGAGAAGAGACTGTATACATGTAACAAGTGGAAACTGTACGTTTCCTGTGCACACGCAAGTATATTTTCAAAAGACACTATGCATGAAATGAGGGAAACTGATCTACCTTCTCCTGTCTAAAATCAAGGACCCATTGTTTAAAAAATGCAGTCAACAGTTTGCTGCAACTGTTGTTACTGCGAGGTGCCATGCAAGAATGGAAAGCTTGACAGACGTAGCAACCGTAAGTAAGAGGGATGGGATTCAGCAAAGGCTCTTATATGGTTTGTACATCTGAGGAACCCGCAAAATTGGGCTGCTGAGAGTGTGACAGAGACCAATCCGTATTTCATGCTGTACCAGTGTTCTCAGTAGAAGTCACTTGTACTTTAATGGTGCTGATGTGGGGAGGAGAGAAGCTCACAGTAGAGCCCTGGGGCTGAGGATCATAGGACTGTGTGGTGGACTGTGGCTACCAGCAGAAGCTGACCTCCTTTACTGATTTTCTTTTTTCTCACTGGTCCAATCAGCCCGTTCACCCACTCTTGCTGTTGATGTTAATGCTGTATTCTTGTATTCACTTTTTGGAAGTTCCTCTTCCTGTTGATCCTTCCTTTTCATTTTTCCTGAAAACACTGCTTGGCATTTATAGTTTGATACCATGTTCATGTCTCATATCACACTTACAAATATAAATCTGGACAAAACTGTTTATGACAATTAGGACAAACAAGACAGGACGGACTGGGGCTAGCTGGTTAGCATGCTCACTTCAGTGGATATCTCTGCGACACAATACACAGACGTCTTTGACAGAACATCTTCACATTCTAGTGATAATGTAAGTTCATCTTTTCAGTTCAGTTTTGAACAAAAAGTCTGTCAAGATCCTACACATTGCACCTTGCTTTGACATAATTACCATATCATTTAGCTTCTCACCAAAATGTGTAATGTCACTGCAAGGCTGCCTGCTGAACTCTTGCTATAGTTTCAAAGCAGATGGATCCTTTCTTGCCATAACGGACTACTTTAGGGTGACGAACAGAAACAGTTAGGCTAGCTGTTGGTGGCTACTAAACACAGCTGCTTATTTATAGCTAATGTCTCATTTTGTATTCTCCACATAATTACAGAATATATGATGTTTGGTGGTGTAGAGGCTTTCAAGCTATTTAAAGGTGCTTTTGACAAAGCTCGGCTGACAAAAACAGCAGTAATATGTAATGACAAATGCAACTAAACACTTTTGCTATTGAGCAGTTAGTAAAGTAATTATCTTTGAGGTCTTCTTTATTTGCAGTTAATAGAAACCAGCTCCGGTCAGTGTAACAACAGCATTATTGAGGGGTGTGATTAGATGTGTGACATCCATCCTGGAGTTTCAGCCTTGTTGTCGCAGTGCCCTTCATGCCTCCTGGCTCCTCTCAGTGGGTGATAGGCGATGTAGGCCAGCGTTGGTACAACCATCCTCATTTAGTTTTGTTACGCTCACCATCGGTCTGGCGATAACCGTGTCATTCATGGGTATGTTCATAAATTACGCCGAACTGCTGCGTGGAGCTTCCTGTCGAGGAGGTAATACTCTGTGGCTATAAAGACGCTGGGCCTCTTTACAGTGCTGGATGTGGATGAATACTCCAGCCATAATGTTTACTCAGCCTTGCAGCATTTAGCCTTTTCCCTATATTTCATCTCATTACTGACAGAATAGGCATCATTAAATGTTGCATTAAATGAGTGGTGTGCCACAGAAATCCTATTCTTTCTGTGGTGTAAAGAGCATAATGGCAGCTGGTCAGAGATGCCAGATCTGTGACTGCAGCTGTCTCTTGTGTCCGGGGCAGTTCTTTGCTCCCACTATTGATTTGTATTGATCCAGACCTCGTGCCTGCAACTGTAAGCTAATACAGCCTGCTGGTTCTTCCGTTGACATTTTCATTGCTGTATCGAGTGAAACCATAAAGCACTGTTTAATGCAGCCTCTGCCTTTATACTCTGAGCACAATGAATTATAGACAGTTAAAGCTGATTCTTTTTCATGGCTGCTCTCACTGGGAGTTTAGACAGTCTGGCAAATCATACCTTTGAACACAAATTTCATTTGCAGTCGCAGTTTTGAAGTCCTCTTTCAAGCCACTTCAGCAGCGGTCTGCAGGTTTGGTGGATCCATCACTTTCAATGGATTTGTTCGATGGATTGACATGAAGCTGTGCACAGACATTCAAGATCAGGATGGATGAGGTCTGCTGACTGTGCCGATCCCCTGACGTTTTCTCTAGCGCCACCATTAGGTTGACATTCTTTTTTTTGATTGAAATACCTTGACGACTATTGGTAAGATTGACATGGAATTTGGTGCAGAGATTTAAGGTTTCCAAAGAATGTATTACAGTACTTTGACTTTGGTCAGCCCCCACATTGTTATCTAGCGCCACCATCAGGTCAAAACATTTTGCTTATCTACTAGAAGATCTCGACATCAAGGCATGCCACGAAGATCTGTACAGACATTCATGGTTACCACAGGATTTATCCTTGACTTAAAAACCAAACATACTGCACATAAATGTTAGGAAGAGTAAAGTACTTCCTTTGGCACACAGACAGACTCTAGGCTGCACTTTTTTCATTTGCTAAAATGTATACACACACAAAAAACATTAATACAAGTTTTTCTCATCGAAATATGTCTTACACAATTAGAAATGCAGCAGAGGCCGTGCCCTCAATAGATCACACGTCACTGTCCAGTTCAGAATAGAATTCTTGTCAGTTTTTGCACTTTGACCAGTTAAACAAAATAAATCAAATCCGAAGATGTTCAATACCGACACCAAGTGTAGTTCTGGCAACAGTTTTCACTTCTTGGGTATTCTCCATTGTTTTATGGCGAACCTGGCGTCGGTTGACCAGGACCCATTGGGTTCCCACTGCAGGGCCTCGGTGCTGCTGATGGGAAGAAATGACCCACTTCTGCTCTTTGATTAAGATGCCTGTGATCAGCCATGGCTTCCCTCTCTTACCACCATCAGGCATCATGGTGGTTCACAATGTTTTAACCAAGAGGTCAGAGGCAGGAATAAATCCAAATTCAGGGACTGATTTTGAATTAATATTATTATTATTATTATTATTATTATTATTATTATTATTATTATTATTATTATTATATTGTTTGAGCTAAGCCCTCATCATTGTACTGTTTTTAGCAACTTTTCCCAGATATCTCATCTCGAAATAACGGTGAGGGGAAGGATGTGACATCTTTTCCACTGCATTTCATGTTGAAGTTTTAATTTATTTTTCTTATGATTGCTTAATAGGCTTCATTCAGTGGAAAGTGAATGGTGCCAAAGGTCATTTATGTTTTGTTTTCTTTGTGAGTGTGTGATGATTATTAATGATACAATTTTTCAATTATATAAGAATTATTTTGTGGTCTTAGTGTAGCGAACTCTGCAATCTTATAGGTTCAAAATAGTTACTTTGTGATCATGGGAAAACCTCATTAGTGTCTGAGTGATGCTCTGCAGACTCTGGACCTACACAGGTTCCCAGCATTGTAACAGCAGTCATGGCTAATGATCGCAAAGGCCATTCATCATATCAGTTAATTTTTATGTTGTATTGATTGAGTCTTCAGCTGCTCTGCATCTGCTGCGCTCCGAACAGGGCTTTTGTGTCGAAAGTCAATGTTTACTTAGAACGATAATTGCATTCTCACAAATCCAGTGAAAGTGCAATCACAGTATTGCACTCCGAAGCACTTAGGCGAAGTGGAAAGGCAGTAGGGTTGTCTTTAGAAGCACTTTAGAACTACAAATAATACCCTTTTTTCTGTGGAATATTAAAACTTGCTTTTGATTGATATTTTTTGCCTGTTAAAAATAGTTCTGATTGATTGATTACAACTTAGGTCTTAGATCTAGGAACATGGGGACATCTCTGCCACAAAGTCTGGCGGGACAAAGAACACCAGCAATCAGATGAACAGACAGGTTGTAACGGGCCAAAGGTTTATCCTGACTATCTGACTATCTATCGGATGTAAACCTGAAAGTGTTGGTATACCTTTGTGTTCCCTTCTGAATATGTTTGGCTAACGTTGGGGTTTGATGTCTGACTGTTTTACTGCTCTTTTACGAGCAAGGTTTTAATGCACTTTGACCTTTCCTTGACTTCTCTTTTATCTTACTCTTTACAGGTCCGTGGGGTCGTTGCATGGGCAGTGAGTGTGGACCCGGCGGCAGCCAGAGCAGGGCGGTATGGTGTGCCCACTCTGAAGGCTGGACCACCCTGCACACCAACTGCGACCAGACAGAACGGCCTGACAACCAGCAGAGCTGCTTCCGAATGTGCGACTGGCACAAAGATCTATACGACTGGCAGCTCGGTGCCTGGAACCAGTGTGTCCCGGTGTCGATGCGCAGTGCTGGGGTGCAGCGCCCTGCTGTGTGTACCCGGGGAGAGGAGGGCATCCAGACCCGTGAGGTTGGCTGTGTCCAGAAAGTGGATGGTGAGCCGGCAGAAGACGCAATCTGCGAATACTTTGAGCCTAAACCACGCCTAGAGCAGGCCTGTCTTATTCCCTGTCCACGGGACTGTGTGGTATCTGAGTTCAGCCTGTGGACTTACTGCTCTAAAACCTGTGGAATGGGCCTACAGAACCGGATCCGCTTCGTTCTGGCTCCGCCACTGTTTGGTGGGGCAGCCTGCCCAAACTTGACTGAATTTCAGACATGCCAGCCAGGGCCCTGTGAGGGAGAGGAGAGCCTTTACAGCCTTAGGGTGGGACCATGGGGGCCTTGCTCTGTCCCAATGCCAAGGCAAGCCAGACAAGCGGACAAACCACCCAGAGATAGTGACGAACTATCCAAGGAAACTGATAAACTTTCCAAAGAGGGTGACAAACAGTCCAGAGAGGGCAGCAAACTGTCCAGTGAGGGTGACAAACAGCACAAAGAGGGAGACAAAAGGTCCAAAGAGGGTGATAAACTGTCCAGAGATGGACACAAACCATCCAGACCCAACAGAAAATTGGGAAGGGCAAACAGGAAACCAGATAGGCCATCCCGACAGGCGGATAGGCCCAAACGACAGAAAAAGGCAAAAAACAAAGAGAAGAAAGAGAAAATGAGAGAGAAAGTCCGGGAGAGGTTAAGGGAGAGGGGTAAGGTGAAGGACCCTGAGACCAGAGAACTCATCAAGAAGAAGAGGAACAGAAACCGTCAGAACCGGCCAGGTGGAAAGTTCTGGGACCTGCAGGTCGGCTACCAGACCAGAGAAGTGACCTGTGTGCATAAGAGTGGAAATGTTGAAGCGCTCAGGTAACAATGACTCAAATACTTTTCCTTATATGTCGTCTCGCATCTATAATGATGTGTTTCTATGCAATGCCTTTGTGTGACTGGACATTTGGGCTTGTCGTAACTTTCTTTAGAGGCTAGTCTACATTATAACTTGGTTTTAGTAATAAGACTAGAATAATGGTTACATCTATGGCAAGGCTAAATCATTCTATTCTCAGATTAGGATTAGGTTTAGGTTAAGGTATTGAAAGCAGTCAGTGGATGGCCAGTGATTTCAAAGAGTTTGGAATTAGATGTTCAGGTCAGAGTTATAATATATATATATACACACACACACACACACACACACACGCACACACACACATATATTTTGTTCTTATTGGATCAGAAGTAGTGAGTCCTTTGTGTAGTTTGTCAAAAAGTAAATAAGAGGTGGTCGGAGTGGTGGACTTCTTTTTCTAAATCACAGTCCCTAACTTTCGGTGTGACTGACTTTTTAAAAACATTTTCATGATATGATGAAAAGGGAGATAATATTTACAAATGTCACATTTATGTGTTATACATTTCATTGCCCTTTGAAGAGCTCGTACTGTTAAGCTTGTTGACATATTTTCCCAGCGAGGGATGTGGCTTGTTTCTTGTCAGAGCCTCGTGAGCACATTCCAGCTCACAACACTGTCTGTGGCGCTCAATCGCTTCAGGTATCAGGGCTCATAACACTTAGTTAAACCTTGTAAGCCTTCAGTTGTATCTCTTGACTTCTGCCTTGAATCTAATATTTACTCAGGGCTAATTGAGATTATTCTAAAATCCTATATGAAGGCCTGAGTTCAATTAGAGGAATCGTTAACAGCATCTATGTATAATTTATAATCCCACAATACATGGCCTAAGCACCAATGGTCGTAACAAGAAGTCTGTTTCAGTGAGTCAATGTTGAACACATTTCATCTATTCCACTTCCTCAGTGTACATAGAGCTTCTCCCACCTCAATGATGTGTCAAAGCTCGAGGATGTACAGTCTCAATGCATGTTTTTCTCCAGCTAGGTCAATGTCCATGCGACGTCTGAGAGCCACGTTCTTTGTTAGGAGATGGATGGCCTCATTCTGTCTCACTGTGCTTGCTCGGCTCTAATAGAGGCCACTGAGCAGCGTCCATCACATCCTGAGAAAAGCATGGCTCTTGTGTTACATTTGCTTTTAACGCCTGGAAGAAGGTCAGAATCCATAAAACGTTCAAACTTCAAGCAAATGCCACTCGTAATGATCCAGCCTTCAAGTAGCATATTATGTTTGCATGATACACACAGGACTGATATGTACTTTGGAATATTTATCCAAAAGATAAGCACATATACACATACTAACTCAGGCCCTGCCCTAGTTAAGTACAGTATCACGGAATGCACAGATGGCTAAAAGCTTCAAAGAGGCTTACTTGACAGTGATGATCATATTAATGTTTAGTGTAGCCCAGAGTCTAGTTTATTTACAGTTGGAGCCATCACTGCGGGAATTTCAAATTTGATCTGGTGGCTAAAAATACTAATTATCCCCATGTGTCCAGGCTTCTAAATGATTATGATATTAGAAAAGACCATCCTCTCTCCTTCTCTCCTGTTCCATCTGTCAGAAAACATGTACAACCACAAGCGAGTCAGATCTGACATGAGCGCTCTACACCACTTGTTCTGTTGTTTGCTGCAAGAACCAACAGAACAGTCTAGATGTGCTCCAGTTATATGAGGATGTGAATACCCAGCGGATTAACTTTATATTTCATGTAAGGTTAAGGTTTAATGAGTTGACCACAACACATTTTTGTATTTCACAGTCAAACTGTATTACGGTGTTGACAGATGAAAATATGCATTACACAATATTCTCTACAGGGATGTTGAAAGGATTTCAAACAGTCTGCAGCTTTGATGAACAATTCACAGTATCAATATGGCAATAACTGTCTGACACATAAAACGTATCAGGTGAAACAATCAAAGTTACTCTGTGAAACATGAATGCAGTCCTCACAGTAGCTGTGGATACTTTCGTTACATTAGAAAGTACTTCGTAGCATCAGTAACCCTACCCTCAGTTATGTTGACACGGTACACGAGTACTTCTATTCCAAGCAAGTTATTCCCTCATTTTGAGTCACTGGTCTGATGTAACTAGAACAAAGCATTTCAGTGTTGAGAAGTATGAGAACAAATGATGGGTTTGAACATTAAAGCATGTCAACATGTTGTGGTAGAAACCCAAAATACAAGTATGAAGCTGAAATGAGGATAATATGTTTCCTTTAATGTATCTGAATTAGAAAACAGTGTTTCATTTTTTGGGCTCCAACATTTCCTTCATATGTTACTATTGGAATGATTGTGATGCTCCACACAACAGCTCAACAAGCTGTCATGTTACGAGCACACGCTATCAAGTGAACTGCATCAATGCAGGATTTTGAAAGTCTATCAAGAAACTAAGTAGTTGGGTTGTTTTGAAAAGTCATGAAAAATGACGTATTTTGTTGTGTAATTTGGAGAACTTGCAGCTGCTGACCAGCAACCACATTCAATTCAATTCACAAGCAAAAGAGGAAGTTCCTCACAAGTCATTCTGAAGCTTCATTTCTTTTAAGTATGTTTCAAAAAAAGTGCTTGTCATCACATATTGTCTGTAAAGCTGTAAGCTTTATAGTCCATGATCACGATTGCCTCCAGACACGGCGGCTCTGGCTTCACTAGAATGGTTGCAGGAGAACTGTAATAAACATTTTTAAAAACACATAGTTTGTTCACAAAGCTTCAGAAAACCTACAGAAGTTCAGAGAAGTTGAGGAAAAATTCAACTGTTGAGACTCAAAGGGAAGAGAACCAGAGAAGAAGAAGCCATGTGTCATTATCCCAAATGGCCTATCAGCCTCTACAGAACACACAGAGAGAAACACAAGTGTCTTTCAACTCCTCAGCAATCCCATCATCAAACAAAGCCATGGTGCTGCGAAGCAACCGCTGAAAATACACATCACAAATTGTTTGGGTTTGTAATGAACAACTTTCAAACCCTGTTCATCACATTGGCTGACTCAGACAAAGGAAAGCTGCAGGATGCACAACAGCATTTCACTAGTCGTTTACATCTGTGTAATCCCTAAACAACAAACAACAGACACTATGGTTCTTAATCCACACTACAAATGTAAAGGCATTCTAACACACAAGCAAATGCTGCTCTTGTCTTTTTCTCTGTCTTTACCTGCTGCTGTATGTGTGGCTTTCTGTGGACACTGATGTCAATATCATGCTTGTTATAACATGAATATAGCCAGCTTTAATTATCATCCAATCTTGGATCTTCAATTTTAAACTATTTTGTGTTGTTATTTCGGGTTAGGCTAATAGCCTATGTGCCAAAGTCACATGATTATTTGCATTTCAAATTTGAATCCTTAAGACTTTCATTGTGTCATTGATACCTTCAACAGCCATCAAATAGATTTGTATTCTGTAATCACCTCTTCATATGATGTGTTAAAATACTATGTTTGTACAGTATGGTATTCAAATTCAAAATAGATTCAATGATTATAGAATGCAAGTTTACGACACTTCCGCATTTGCTTCACTTTTCACAACGGGAGGTTGCCATCTGGCAATGAGACATGCATGAAGTAGAGATGATGTGCGAGACAAATGCCATTACTAATTTAATTATATCAGAAGTCCAGTATTACTGTGTCAGACAACATTGTTGATAGACATATCAATACCACATAGGAGCCAATCCGAGCATATTCTAATGCAGGTGTTCAATTGAAATTCAGCGAGGTCTATTGAGAGAGGATTTCCTCAGGCAAAGGTTTTGAACATCACAGTAATGTGTAACTTGCACTCTGATTTAGTCCCATATATATCAAATACTAACAGTTCTCTCTGTAGTCAACACCTGACTGTCAAATCAAATAAAGAAAGTTCAATTGAATAATATCTCAACAATATGTATTGTCAGATTTCACAACTGGATGAATTATAAACAATAGATACTCTAATAATAAACAAATGTTCTCTCATTTCAAGTAAAATAAGGGATGCATTTAAGAATAAATTAAATAAAAGAAAGTTCTTCATTTGAGAGAAATGAATTTAACTGAATTGTTTTTGTCCTGCAGCTTTAAATTCAGTTCATTCAGGTGTGAAATGATGTCAATCAAAAAAGCCACAATATTATATTCTTCTCATCTTCTAAAAAGAGAAATTTGTGTGCAGGGATGACATATGGAAACCAGTTGTTTCAGCCTCATCCCCTCTCCGTTAACGCCCTTGTTGGGCAGTGAATTAATGTGTTAGAATTCTAATGGATCAATCATTTTGGGCTTCTGTGCCTTCATTTCGGATGTGAGTGGGTACGTTTGCTCAAAAGAGTTGAGCTTTGTCTGGTTGTGGCGCTTCACATTAACGCTTTTAATAATCGCCACGGTCTCTGAACATATGAACTGTCCATGGGAAAAATGAACATTTAAAAGTCTGTCCATTCTGGGTTAGGAGGCTCTGGTCTCACTGTCCACATTTCTCTTTTTGGAGAACGTGAAATAACTTCTGACTCGCGTATTATTCTCCGACTATGCGGTCTCTCGCCCCGTCTCCCCGTGTGTGTAAATCTCACTCGAGTCAGCAAGCTTATCAGAATACATATTTGACTGGCTGAGTAACATCACCTGATGTGATTTATAACGCATGTAGTTGGTCGGTGTGTTTCTTGGACCGCTGAACGAGTGCCGTGAAGGCTAAATAAGCCATGCCGTTTGAAATAGAAGTGCTGCATCAAAATTTCATAATCCTCAACTATCTCTTTTAGGTCTGGGTCCAAAAACAACGGCATCTTGGTTCAGATTCGGACCACGGTCATTCTATGAGTGCCCCCTGTTCTAATGGATCAGCATGGACTAAAATAAAGCCTCAATGCCTCTGCAATGACGGGGGCTCTATCGTGTCAGCATCTTGCTGCATATCCAATGGGACATTAGAGTGTGCCCTCTGTGTGTGTGTGTGACTCTGAATTCTGATGCTGAGGTTGACAAAATGTTTGCTAAGCTCCAATGCTTGCGATCATTAGCATAGAGCAGTGTACAAAACATTCAGGTATCAGCTTCTGATGTTTTGCCAGCGCTGTCCATCATTCTTTCGGGTTAAAATCACAAACTTCGCAGGCAGTGGGTCATATCAGCTGCAATGTTAATTGTGTGAGTAACTTGATGACAGAATAAAACTAGACTTGTCTGTTGTCTGCTTTAAAGTGCACTCTGCCAGCTGGTTTCTCTACTGCGCAAAAAGCTTGTTGTTAAATTTGTCAAATTTGTGGGGAAAGGTTGTGGTTATAGCAAATAAACTATGGTTAAGATGTGGTTAACGTAACTATTAAAACAGTCAGTGCAAGATTTTTGTCATGGTTAATAAATAAGGAAACATGCCAGCTTCATTACAGGATGCAAACTTGGCTTTCCTGCATGAAATTTGGATGCGTCTTCATCCATCACATGACATCCACACCTTACATTCCTTATCTCTATTAAAGGGCAAACTACTTCCTGCATTGATACTGTATGTTGACACTGGAAGTGAATCTTGAGGAGCAGAGTCATCCATCGGGATCTATATCATCGACGTTCTTGAGAAGCTAGACATGTAACCAAATCAACCAGGAGTGAAATCTTAAGGATGATGACTTAACTCCCTATCGTAGAAGTCCTATGGTGTGTAAGTACAGCTACTGTGGTGTTTCCTGATACGGCTCCACTGTTCCTTTTTTTTCTTGGGGCTGCTCTGTGATGATTTTGCTGACACTGTCGCCTCACAGCAAGAGGGGCCAGGGTTCGATTATGGGGCTGGATGTGTGTCATTTGCATGTTCTCCCCATGTCAGTGTGGCACAATAAGTCATTTGAGTTCAGGAAGTACAATAGTTGCTTGGGTGTAGTGTAAGTTAAGTGAGTTTATTATGTTTCCTATGTGTTAATGAGGAGGAAGTGTTCATTTTAGTTAAAATGTGGGGTACAGTGTTATTTATCGCCAGATACATTTGTAGGCAGTAGATCCAGTGGATCGCCAGTAGGTGGCAGTGTTGCGACATCAGCAGTGTCTGTGACAGAGAGCCAGAGGGAAGTCTCGCGTGGATACGCGAGAACATGAGAATCTCTGAACACAATAGAAGAAGAAAGTGCTGAGAAGCGACTGCATACCTAAACGTATATATATCTTTGTATTTTACAGAACCATTTTCATTAAATGTGTAGCACGAGATTGAGCCTGTGTGACGTCATTCTGTGCCCCGCTACATCAGCGTGGGTTTTCTCTAGGATCGGAGATTTCCCTTATTTGCCCTTGGGTGTGTTAATGGTTGTCTGTCATATGTGTCAGCCCTGCGATAGCCTGGCGAAATGTCTTCGCCAATCCTACCTTCGAGTGTTTAAGTTTCATCTTGTCTTACGGCATTTTTTATTCTCATCTCCAGCCTATGCTCTCAGGAGTCGTTGCCGGTGACTTTCCAGGCCTGTGTCATGACCAAAGACTGTGATGTGTCTGAATGGTCTGAATGGTCAGCTTGCTCCAAGGAGTGCTACGACCCCAACGGGCCCAAAGGGGAGCGCACTCAGACCAGAAAAGTGAGCCAGTTCCCAATCGATGGAGGAGCAGATTGTCCAGAGCTGGAGGAGAAGGAGCCCTGCAGCCCCCAGGGAGACGGAGTGCCACCCTGCATTGTGTAAGTACTAGACAAAGAGAGAAGGTCAAGTGTTGCTAGTTCGCTTCTACAGCCATAGTACATTTCTTCTGTTAACAATCTCATGGTAACTCAGGTTAAACTTGGACCTTGCTGTACTTTTAACACTTTCAATATGTATCCATAATAACTGCATGGCTCTAGACATCCAGGCAAACTATTCAGTGATTAACTATGCAATTTGATTCACACATTCATGGTCCCCAGAGGATGAATCCTCTTCAGTGATGACTATTCACACGCCACCATGAGGTTGACATTTGTGATTTTAATTTGAATGTCTCAAAAACTATTGGGTGGTCTGCCATTAAATTCGGTTCACGTACTCCCCAATTATGTCCCACTCAGAATGATTTGTAATGATATTGGTGATCCCTTAAAGGGACAGTTCACCCCAAAATCAAAAATAAATACTTTTTCTCTTATCTGTAGTCTATAAAACTGCTCATAACAAGGTCTGTGGATTATCTTGGGTAACCAGGTCATGATTTGTGGAAAGAAAACATTGCTGTTGAGTTCAAATCTATCTATTTGGTGCTTTTTGCACTACAAGCAAAGTGTTGTATAGTCCCATTATTTTGGAGAGAAGGCCGTTATTTCCGCAACTCATGCCAAAACAATCTAGATTGATAAATAGCACAACAATTAAGCCGAAAATATGTATTTTTGATTTGGGGGTGAACTTGCCCTTTAACATTTGGTCAAGCACCATCATCAGGTCAGCCTTCATCAATCAATCTTAAGCTGTTTTGTGTTGTTATTTCAGGTTAGGCTAATAGCCTATGTGCCAAAGTCACATGATTATTTGCATTTCAAATTTTAATCCTTAAGACTTTCATTGTGTCATTTATTCATTTAATGCATGACCCATCATCATACAAATCAGAAAATACCATCAGACAGTGGTCAAGATATGCCATACAATTGCAGCTCTTCAGAAGCCTCTATGCACATCAGCACATGGCTGGACGCTTACAGGAAACAAATTGAGCAGGTATTTTGATGGCTGTCATACGCTGACAGTGACTGTTAACCATCATTCTGTCAGCCTGGTGACGGTTAACCAATGACGGTGATGGCCAAGGCCGCCCAAAACTAGAATAATCGACTGAGTAAGAATATGGGTAGAAAGTGGATGTTTTGTAAATAAATGTTAAAGTGATTTTGCATTTCTCCTTACTCCTAGAACTAAATCTGATTGTTCCAGTTTCACCTCATCTCTCTATAACCCACATATACAATACATTTAATTCTGTTCTAAAGGCAGCGTGAATTAACCATCAACACCAAATCAGTGCCCGTCGACTCCTTTGTTTGACATACAGCAGGAAGAGAGCCAGCAACGCTGTCCGTGGTGCTGAAGAACTGCTCTGTTTGAGTGTCCCCATCTGGGCAAGATGCCCCAAGATGCAATGCTTTCCCATGGGCCTCGTTGTTCTGCAGCAGTGCAGAGGCAACTGAGAGACAGAGAGACCTTGCTCATGAATATGGAGCATTTCATTGGCGACCTCAAATGAATGCCATTATCAGTAGAGATTGAGGCAGGGTTCACAATTACTGACCTTGGGGTGGAAACCACAATACATTATTGCTAAAGCAGACTGCTGCCAATTCAACCACCAGACACAAACCCATCATGCTGCAACCTCCTTTCAGCTTCAAAAATCGAGGAAAGTCTGGTTAAATTGTAAATCCTTAGGCGTATTGTAAACAGAGATCTAAGGTCAATAACATAAAAACTCTTTCTTACAATGCTTGGAGATACTTGCCCCCCGGACTCACTGAGGCACAACTGATGCTGTTCAGTGACTGCAAAGAACCACGCACACAACTGAGTGTCCCTCAAAGCAATTAAAAAAAGGTTAAACCACAATGCTGACTCTGCAAATGGTATTTTTAGAAAATGATTTCTGCTGATTTGAGTATCGTATGCTCTGTTTAGCATTTTATTTCAAATCAGATTTTCAACCATTTTGACTCACTAATAAAGAGTCAGATTACTAATAAACCTTAAATGTAAAGTTGCACAAAGGTGGTCGTGTGATCATCCCATTCTCCGGGCCGGGTGTACAGGAACAGTTTCTGCAAAGGAGAAAAAAATATTTGTACACCGGATTGCTAACATGGTCAATTGATTTAACAAGAAATATAGAAAAGCCCTTACAGTGCAACCCTATGACACATTATTTCAAAATGAATAAGTTGCTAAAAGATTTATATGGATCACAAAAAAAACCCGACATAGAACATATCTGGATATCTTTAAATATTTTTTTAAAGGCACAATACAAGTTTGGTGGACCTTACTGATTGGAAATTATTATTATGGAGGAAGAATCTCCTCCCATAATCATTTTGGGTGCTTTAATCCATTGTCGGTACACTCATGTAACACTGTAATTTCATAGTTCTTACATAATTGAAGATTTGGATTATATCCCTACTTGTGTTAGTGTTGGTGTCAACTGGACACTTTCATTGTGTTGGAACTTAGTTCCATTGTTTTCTCCATTTGCAGAGCATTTCCTCATGCAGTGCATGTGTTGTTAAATTGGTGAATGTGTTTTTCTTACTTAGCTTATCTATTGTATATGTATTTCTGACTTGTTCACCATACAACTCAGCACTCTAAGCGTGTTTTGAGGGCATATTAAAAAGCATAATCACAATATGAACAAATAGGATAACCGGACTTATCTGTAAAAACAACAACAAATGTGATAGTTTTTGGATGTTTGATTATAATGTCAGACAGGTTTGGATGTGATTCTAATAAGACCATAACAATTCATTGGTTTGTGGTGGTAAGGCCTTGTTTGTACTTTACTGTACTATAGATTACATTTGTCAGATGAAACCATTGATTTGGTGAACATAATCTATGTCACAGGAAATGAAACTTGATATCTGATTTGATTTGGTCAATATGAATCAATTTGGACCAACAGACCACACCCCTGTGTCTTTCTCTTGAAAGCTGATACTGACCCACAACAATTGAGTATTAGCTGTATTGATCCAATCTATTCTACTAATCCAATTGGTAATGTAAAGGAAAGACAACTTGGGGCTGATAAACTCTATCAGACTAACTCATGTGTCCACCTCTGTCCTCAGCTACAGCTGGAGGACTACAGAGTGGACAGAGTGCAGGGTGGACGTGCTGCTGAGCCAACAGGACCGCCGGCGTGCAAACCAGACAGGGTTGTGTGGAGGAGGGATCCAGACTCGAGAGATCTACTGTGTCCAGACCAGCATGGATACACCACCCAACCTCAGCTCACTCTGGAGCAAAGAAGGTGACTTTCCCAGCTGGCTTTTCTGACCTGTTCTATTCTATCTCCATGTTTGATCTACTGGAGGTGTGCCTCATTCACCACTCAGTGTTTGTTCACTGTATTCATTTAGCTTGTATGATTTGATGTTATACATTTATTGATGTATCCTCTTTGTGTTGAAAACCCCACGCGAGAGAATCAAAAAGTAATGGAAAATGAAATTGAAAGGAAAAAAGAAAATCTGTCACCAAGAAGTCTCAAGCCAACGCTGCTGGTGCTGGAGCCTGCCAAGTGTGTCGCTCGGCACTAGATCTGTTTGTGACAGAATCTCTTGGCACAACCAAGGAGTGAAGAACATCCAGTTTGGTGACCTTGAGATTGCATCTCTGCTTTTGGAAAAAGTTAGAGTTACTAAAATATACTGATTTTAAATGCATTTTCCATAGTGGTCTTCATACCTTGTTACATGTGACACTGTGGGACGTCTGTTGTGCCTTCACTTTGCCGGAGAAAACATTCCTTGAATGTGCGGCTTTGTCTCCGAATTACTGCCATCTGGGTCTATTTGTTTTGGTCACTAGGTCACTATGACTGACTACCACAAGCACACTGCTCTTTTCCTACAGGAATGTTGTTTGTATGTTAAGGTAGTATTAGTTGTTACTGGTGCTGTAAAAACTTGTGGCCATTAATTACGAGGTGCCTTAACAGCTTTGTAAACCGAAATCTGTTCTTATCAATTGTTTTTTTTATCTTAGCTTTATCAACAAAAGAGGTAGAACGCAACGGCTGATATGCAATCTCTGAAGTCATCTTGTTAGTTCCTCAATATTCCTTTATGTTAAAAAACTGGGACACCTAAAAATAATCCACAGCTTAATTCCAGATCCATTCTTGTAACTGTATAGTCATCATTATATTAGACAGAATTCATATGGCCTATCAAGGGCCGTTTATCAGCTCAAATAACAAACACACAGCATCAGGGGGATCTGGGTGACAGAGAGCCGAGAGGGTTCGTGGAGTAAATCATAGTTTTTTTTTAATAGCACATGTTTTGACAGAGGCTGTTTAAAAACAGCTTCAAATAACATCTGTGAGGGTCGAGTGGCAGACAAAAAAAAAAGTTGTTGATGAGCTTTTGCATCATCTGCTTAGGCTTGCGTTTCACACACACACCAAAGTCATGTCATCTGTTCCAGCTCTGCTGCTATCCTCCCCCTGCATCACCAGCCATGTGTGAACCACAGTGAAGAACTGAAGAGGTTTCCCCCTCATATTAAATCTAGGGACTGAGCTATATGAATATGCTAATGTATGTGCAAAAGCCACACAGAGAGGGTAGCAGATGAAATATGAGCTTTCACATAAATTGGTGGCATTACTGAGCACACGGAGGCTGCAAGTGGCCTGGTAGCAAGCCTATGCTTATCCTGCACTGACACAATAAGACTCAGTCCATCTGGCCGGGGAAGCTATACTGGCGTCTGCTGCTAGAAATGATTCAGATCAGATGCACACAACCATCCACGCGCTTTCATCCTCCGGCTTCAAGATTCCACTTTGGCAATTTTGCTAACAGTCTGACTTTCAACACTTCCCTTTTACATACAGTTGTGTGAAAAAGTGTTTGCCCCCTTCCTGATTTCTTATTTTTTTGCATGTTTGTCACACTTGTTTCAGATCATCAAACAAATTTAAATATTAGACAAAGATAACACAAGTAAACACAAAATGCAGTTTTTAAATGGTTTTTATTATTAAGGGGGGAAAAAAATCCAAACCTACATGGCCCTGTGTGAAAAAGTGATTGCCCCCCCCCCTGTTAAAACATAAATTAACTGTGGTTTATCACATCTTTAGAAAGCTGAGTTCAATTTCTCTAGCCACACCCAGGCCTGATTACTGCCACACCTGTTCTCAATCAAGAAATCACTTAAATAGGACCTGCCTGACAAAGTGAGGTAGACCAAAAGATCCTCAAAAGCTAGACATCATGCTGTGATCCAAAGAAATTCAGGAACAAATGACAAACAAAGTAATTGAGATCTATCAGTCTGGAAAAGGTTACAAAGCCATTTCTAAAGCTTTGGGACTCCAGCGAACCACAGTGAGAGCCATTATCCACAAATGGCGAAAACATGGAACAGTGGTGAACCTTCCCAGGAGTGGCCGGCCGACCAAAATTACCCCAAGAGCACAGCGACGACTCATCCAAGAGGTCACAAAAGACCCCAGAACAACATCCAAAGAACTGCAGGCCTCACTTGCCTCAATTAAGGTCAGTGTTCATGACTCCACCGTAAGAAAGAGAATGGGCAAAAATGGCCTGCATGGCAGAGTTCCAAGACGAAAACCACTGCTGAGCAAAAAGAACATAAAGGCTCGTCTCAGTTTTGCCAGAAAACATCTTGATGATCCCCAAGACTTTTGGGAAAATACTCTGTGGACTGACGAGACAAAAGTTGAACTTTTTGGAAGGTGTATGTCCCATTACATCTGGCGTAAAAGTAACACGCCATTTCAGAAAAGGAACATCATACCAACAGTAAAATATGGTGGTGGTAGTGTGATGGTCTGGGGCTGTTTTGCTGCTTCAGGACCTGGAAGACTTGCTGTGGTAAATGGAACCATGAATTCTGCTGTCTACCAAAAAATCCTGAAGGAGAATGTCCGGCCATCTGTTCGTGACCTCAAGCTGAAGCGCACTTGGGTTCTGCAGCAGGACAATGATCCAAAACACACCAGCAAGTCCACCTCTGAATAGCTTAAGAAAAACAAAATGAAGACTTTGGAGTGGCCTAGTCAAAGTCCCGACCTGAATCCGACTGAGATGCTGTGGCATGACCTTAAAAAGGCAGTTCATGCTCGAAAACCCTCCAATGTGGCTGAATTACAACAATTCTGCAAAGATGAGTGGGCCAAAATTCCTCTACAGCGCTGTAAAAGACTCATTGCCAGTTATCGCAAACGCTTGATTGCAGTTGTTGCTGCTAAGGGTGGCCCAACCAGTTATTAGGTTTAGGGGGCAATCACTTTTTCACACAGGGCCATGTAGGTTTGGATTTTTTTTCCCCCTTAATAATAAAAACCTTCATTTAAAAACTGCATTTTGTGTTTACTTGTGTTATCTTTGTCTAATATTTAAATTTGTTTGATGATCTGAAACATTTAAGTGTGACAAACATGCAAAAAAATAAGAAATCAGGAAGGGGGCAAACACTTTTTCACACAACTGTATATTGTCAGGATGAAATAGGAAATAGTGGCTGCCCCTCTAGCCAAGCCGTCCTGTCTGCATGTTATTACGGTAATTGTTAAGCAAAGTGTTTTTGGGTGGAAGAGGGGCACATTATTGAAGGTAGTATGACTTCAAGGTGTCACTAACGACGGATGGTGGCAGATGGAGAAAAGCGAGAAGAAACAAGAGTGGAATGGATGTGAGAAATGAAAGCCACAGCCTCCTCCTTCTGTTCAGCCTGCACCTGTCCTTGCTCTAAGACAGGTTTTGTCATGTCTTGTATCATTTTGGCTACCCCCTAACTTGGACACGTCACGATGTAAATAAGGAACCTCTATCCATCCCCTATGTTCCATCTCTCACTTCTTTCTTTACGCTGTTTCTGTGTTGGCTAAACCTAACTCCTTCACTGCAGTCTTACAATGGTGGCCATGGCACTACTGATGTATCTGAAATATTTTGTGTCTGCATAATTTCCACCAATTGGCTTGAGGAGTGTTTGGTCAGCTAACTTTCTATCTATCTTGCAAATAACTTTAGCCAGCAGGTAGAGGTGGAGCTTACATCAACGAGGGTCTAAGGAAAGGAAACAGCCTTTTCTAGGTTCTAGCTTTACCAGCTGAGGGCTGAAAGGAGCTGAACATTTGAACACCAGTCTCTTTATTGGTATTCTTTCTTTGCTTTAAGTATTGCTTGGCCATGTTGACATTGGTTACCCACTAGTAAGAATATTCATGTAATATATTTTTTATTAAATAATGACACCAACTGCCACAACAATTCTATTAGCAGACAGGATGTTGATATTAGATCACCTTTTTTTTTTTGTGGAATGATGCTTTTTAAAAGTTCAACTACCATGCTTTTTATTATCCAAGGCCAGTTTGTTTTAACGTAATTTCTTTCACTTTGACATAAGTTAGGGTAGTTATGGTGACAAACAATGGTGTTTTTGACCCAACTGCAGGGAGGGATTTGCTACACTTTAGAATTCTGCTATTGTGACAATTTCTGTAAAGCTGAGTCATTTCTGTTCCAGTGAAGTTTCCTTGTTTCCTTCTCACATGAAACCAACCAAAATGTGCCACAGAAAGGACCAACCACACTTAATACTTAAACAGAGGCCGGGGAACAAGCAGTGCATGCTTGAAAATTGCTTGCCCCCTACATGCAAAACAGCAGATTACCGTGATCTCCCCAATTACATCTCCTTCAGTTCAAATAAGATTCAAATTACAGATGTGGCAAGAAAAAAAACGTGAATTAATAGTCATGAAAATAATCAAAACTAAGTCCGAAACTGAGTCCAATCATGAAGTAACAATTCTTCAGTTGCCCAATAAAGCTGATACAATCTCATCATTTACTTTCAAGGATGATCAGTGAATCCCAGAGAGACTGAGAGAGGACAGTCTGCCAGTAATATCTGTGGACACATGTCATTCCCAGTCCAATTACTGGGAGCTAGTATCACAGATCACTGCTAGGATTCACTCAGTGCTGGATCTCTCTCAGACATGCAGTGATTACTGTTGACAGCATCACTGTTTATTACAATGCTACACTCTCAAATGGAGAGCTTTTGATTATCATGAACAGCTTGTTAATCCTCCCTGGTAGCGCACATTTCATAGACAGTTTATCATTTTCTTCTGAAGAGAACAATTTCCTGTTCCATGTTACTGCGTGTACGTTGTTTCAGCAGTGTTTTCCTGTTTGGGTCCGATCGATGCAAAACTTAATTGGAGAGCAAAGCGTGACATGCTGTATAACAGCTGTG